TTTTTTTTATTTCATGCTCGTGACGGCGTTGGGGTCAAAATGCACCGCGCAGCCCGCTATTTACCCCTTTTTTAAATTTCAAGTCGAGGCTTCTGCGGCCAGATGTGCAGTGGCATGATCTTGGTTGTCCGGGTGACCCGCCGCGTCGAAGCCTGTGTTTGCGACGTTCCGGCATCTTGTCGTGGCTTCTTTCAGCGCTGGTATGTCCATGGGCCATACCACTCGTAAAGTCAAGATCATGTACTTTTTATAAATTTGTCCGAGAAATACGAAAACAGTTTTAAAATTAGCTTCGGCCATTTTTACTTGGGAAAGAGATTCACCAGGATTGGAACTCATTAAAGCAGGGGTAAAACGGTTCGTTTTTGAGATCAAAAAATTAGAGGGTTTGAAGGAAGTAAAGCAGCTCGTGCGTATACTCCCCGCTTATTTCTTTCCTGTATTTGAACCGCGGAGACTAATTAGAGCCAAGGTGGAATGTTAACAGAAAAACACTTAGAAGTAAAATAATCTAGAAATTAAATTAAAGGCAGATGGAATAATGGTTATATTTACCAAAATTTGTTTCTTTTTTTTTAAAATCCGGCAGTTCCAAAAATCGGAAATTTCCATTTTTGGAGTATTGCCCTCAACAATTTTAAGATTCGCTATTTCGAAGGAAAGACGGAATATTGAAAAATATAGTTTTGTACTACCATTACACACCGTTTACCTCAGTCAGTAATCGTAGCTTAGCATCTCTAATTTGGTAGATGTGGAAAAATAGGACTGGAGATGCAAAAGAACGAAAGCCGAAACCGACTTGTCTAGCTTGGGCGTATCCGCAAGTCCCGCCTGCTCCGCGCGGGGGCTGGCCGCCAACGGCCGCCTTGGCCTTGCGTCGTGCCCCCTCGCGCGACAAGAGGGCCCACAACAATCGGGTGGGAGACGCGTTCGGTCCGTGAAAGGGGAAGGCGGGGCGAGGTGTTTCGTAAATTTCGACTTTACGAACCGCTCCTATTCGTCGTGATTTGCTGATTGTCACGGCGTTGGATTCAGGAAGCATGTCGCCATCGCGCTATAAAGCCCCCCGACATTTTTCAATTCTGTTCTCCGGAAGTTTTGAAAAGCTAATTTCAAATTTCGATATTTTGCTAGATTTTTAGAAAATGGGCCTTTCGTTCGCGTAAATTCATATTTAAAAAGGCATCAAATGGGATGAGTGAAGTCTATGGAGGGGTCGGGGAGGGCAAGAAAGTGGGACGGAGGGGTTGAGAACGGGATGGAGCAGGGTTGAGGGGACGTGGATGGAGAATTACCTGAGGCGGCGCGGGGGTGAGCGGTGAAGCAGGGACAGGCCGGGGATAAGGCAGAGGGTGACAAGGGAGATGGGCGAAATGTCTGTGGTGGGACAGGGATGTGGAGGTATCTGTGGCGGAGCGGAGGAGGGGCGTGAGACGGGCTGGGCTGTGCGGGGTCTGGCGGGTCTGAAGTGATGCGTAGGGCCAAGCGGGGGTGATGGTGATGCCCCCCCCCGGGGGGGAGGGGTAGTAGCGGCGGGGTCCGGGAGGAGATCGGCCATGAGGTAGAAGTCTAGGGCCTTTCTCTTAAGTCGTCACAAACTCGTCTTGAAACGTCGCAACTCGGTCGGGGGGAAAGTCTGTTCAGTGGAGTTTGTGGATGGATCTTCCGAGCGCGTTGGGCGAAAATCGTTTCAAGAAGACCATGCAACAAAAACTAACGATATTTCCATTCGCCGTTTTCGTTTGCTGCGCAACGCTTAAGAACGATATTCGGTAGAAATAAGCACATATAATTTTACAAAATTTATTTTACAAAAAAATTGTACAATAACATGACGAAAGAAAAAATCAAACGAACAAACTTTTCAAAACATTAATAATAAACAAAGATTCACGACCATCATTGCTGTATCCACAGCTACATTCAAAGTTAGCACACGTGCACGAGTCGGAACGCGCTCCATTTTAAAGGGCGCAAGGCAACAGCAAGTGAACCGCTTCAACAAGCAGCGAGCTGCGGGAACGAGTCTGCCGCAGCTCGGGGCCCGCATGTATAACGGGCGGTTCAGCACACGAGAAGAGAGAAGAGATTGAGCTAGAACTACAGCGTTGCAACTGCAACTTCTTCAGGCGCCCCAAACTCGGGTATTTTCTTTTGGCAAGTGAGACTTCAGCTTCACTTGGTATATTCTTGTGAAGCGATTGCCTTGTAAATTCTACAATTAAATAAATTGTTATATGTCAAAAATCTCAGCCTCCATCTTTTTATACATTTCAATCTGAAGCTAAATTAAAGAGTGCTCCGGATCTTGGAATTTGCTCACAGATAGTATTCAAACTTTAAAAAATGTCAAGTTTGCTGAGGTTTTCGTAAGTACGATGTAACGTTCGGGATTGTATTAATAACTTGAAGGTAGAATTACATATTTAGGAAAGGAGGCAAACATGACATGTTTTAATAATATCTGTGACCAAATCCCATGATCCATAGATGAAATTATGAATTTGACAATTTATTTTCTTTACAATATAAAATGTTTTGAATCCTGAGACACAAATAGACATTTATAGGCGAAAAACACTTAAAGGGAGAGTTTGAAAGATGTTTATATCATCTTGCATTTCTGAATGGAAATGGAAAAATTAACATAAGAAAATGAAAACCTCTTGACGAGCTCTATCCAAGCAAACGCAGATCGGACTGTGCGACACAATCTGCAGCACCCCTTGCGGCCGCGCCAGCCGAATGCTCATCCGTTGGAGACTCATTGACAGGTGCTGTAAATAAAGAATATGAAGACGGAGAAACTAATGGAGTAAAATAGAAATACAACTTTCCACCATAAATTCCTCATGAAGTGACCAAGATTTGTACGATTTGCAATACTCGTATCAATGGTATCCGCAATGAAAAACCGGTGTAAGCGGCGGCGATGGTGTAACGGGGGTGTGCGCTAACGGTTAGCGTAGCGGACTGTTGTAACCCAAGTTCGCGGGATCAAACCCGATCGAAGCCGTGGATTTTTAAGGGAGAAAAAATCCTTCGAACGCCTTCCTTCGGAGGGGAAGTAAAGCCGGCTCTCCCATGTTAGTATATTTACTTGCATGTAAAAGATCCTCAAGCCTAAATGACGCCTCTGAGCTAAATTCAAATCGCCTGTTTCTCGCTCAAGAAATACTCCTTTCTCCACTAGTTGGTGAAAGGAGCGTAGCGAAATTTGCGTGGTCAGACGGAAGAGCGGGCGTGATGGCCCGAGTCTCGCCACGTAAAATAAGGCAAATTCAATTCAATTAAAAAACCAGCACACTTTACACTATATATAGCGGAGAGTGCTGGTTTTCCATTTCTCATAGTTCAATCACTCCGAAAACTAAATTATGCGGAATGCCAATGAGCTTTTTATTTCCGCAGTCCGACCGAACAAAGCCGACCTACAAATAAATTAATTATTTAGACAATGTTGGAGAGACAGATATATTTGATACAGCGCAAGTTAACAGCCAAATAGTTTCGGTTATGACATAAATGATTTCTGCTCCTTAATTCTTCATAGTTAAGAACATTACATTAAAAATGCAAATAATGGTCTCAATTTTCAAAATGTAGGGGAAGAATCTTTAAAACTATTGAGACATATATTTTCCTCTTTTCTTTCACGCATTCAACCATGGGGTTTATCATGACGTCAATCATCCGCACAATGCTATTCAAAATATGTTGAACCATCGTGGGAGATATTCAGACCTTTCGAAGGCTGAATCAAAATTTTTAATGCCCCAACTATTTTAGAAGAAATACCTTGCGGACATTGTTGCTTCCACGTATACGATACCTCCAAAAGCCTTAAAAACAATATTTTCGGGTATGAGAGTACTGTTTTCAAAAGAAGTTAAATTTAAACACACCCACGCATGCAACGTTACTAGAATGAAAAATGTATTACTCCACAAAGAGTCTCACCAACTATTCCTACGGGCTTTGCAGCAAAGAAACTTTAAGAGATAAATCTTAACAAATACAATTCTTCTAAATCGTAACAGTTACGATTTGTTTAATTGAAAAATATGCAGTGAGTTGAACAAAGTTGCAATTTTTCTCTGAGTTCAACATGAAAGTACAGTTACTTCCGTTGTGATTGGAGAGTCGACATAACGATTCCGCACTTCAAGAAGCTTTTCCTTGCAAAGAGCCATCAAATTCTGAACATTATTTTCTTCACTTCCATTTGTATATTTTTTCGTAAAATTGCACTTTCGATGAACGTAGAAAACGCTTTCATCAAACCATTTCACTATTTAAACAGCATTTCAGTCAATCTGAAATGTATCATTGTGTGACGTCATGGATACTCACAGCGACCACAGACACAGAGCTTTCATATAACAAATATATTATAACAAGAAACAAAAAACAGTATATATACATTAATAATCTACTTACACCCTAGCTCTGATAGGACCGTACTATCCCTGGAGGCGGAGCGATCCAAACCCGATTGAAGATTTTTCTGATGGTGGCATTACCGCCACTCCTACTTTTGAAGCCGCGCACAAGCCTAGCTTCCGATTGACCGGATGTCACGCTCGGGGCAGACAAAGTCCCGTTCTGGCGCACCAACGGCTTGCGTTTGCCTCGATCGCAGGAGCGATGCTTATCGGATTGAGAATCGCAGTGAATCGTGGCACTCAACCACTCTTTCACCTCGGAGCACGCACACGAGCATCGCTCCCCCGTGACCGCAGTCACCGCAAGGACTAAAGTCCGCAGTCGTCGTCAACTAGTGACTCGACGCCTCGCGAGCCTGGCTTCGATATGCACCGTTCGGGCGCCAAGTTTTTGTGCACGACGCACGAGTTCTCCCACTGTCTCCGAACCCACGCCACTGCGCTTGTACACTCTGTTATATAGGCGAGGCCCACGTGACCTACTTACGTCACGCCACCCCCTCGCTTGTTATAAACAGTTGAAAAGGCCGGATGACTCCAAAAGCCTTTGGGTCTCCCGATTCGCCGTTCTTCTCTATTACGGAAACCCTCTTCCTGTGGCGAGCTAATTCCTCTACCAAGCGTCCCCAAATAGATGCCATGAGGCACGCTGGCTAATACGTTACAATTGCAACTAATAACAACCTTAGCATTCTTGAACGGTAATCAGGTATACTTATAAGATCCATTAGAAATGAATGTCCAGGACAAAGTATTATGTGTAGAGATCTCGGGAAATATTTGGAGAGACAAACACAAGATAGTCAGACATCTATTTATTCTCCAAATCGGCATAAGGTTGTTTTCTTATTCTGTGATCTCCGGGTGAAACCGCGTTAAGGGCTGAATTGCAAATCGAATCGCCATCCTGATGCACTACAGCCCTGAAGAAGGCCACGATATGATGGCTGAAACGTCGGCACCTCAGCCATCGAACCGGTGTTACCCGGACAGCTCAGATCATGACTCTGGCCGCGGAAACCTACGACATCAGGTCCTCATTTTGCTGAAGATGTTCCATGAATCGCCCAGGTCTTGTTGAAGTCCAGAAGATGTACCTAGTCGCGCGAAAATGGCCGCAGTCTTGTAGTAGTGCCATCTCTCTCTATCTCGCTCTCTCTCGCTCTTTCTCGCTCTATCTCGCTCTCTCTCGCTCTCTCTCGCTCACTCTCGCTTACTCTCGCGCTCTTGCTCTCTCTCGCTCTCTCTCCCGCTCTCGCTCTCTCACTCTCTCTCGCTCACTCTAGCTCTCATTCGCTCTCTCGCTATCTCTCGCTCTCTCTTGTTCTCTCTCTCTCTCTCTCTCTCTCTCTCTCTCTCTCTCTCTCTCTCTCTTCGTGGTCCAAATGCCAAGACTCCAAGTGCAGCGCGTCGCCGTCCTCTTCTCGGAGTCCGTGGGCTGGTTCTTGATCGTGTTTCTCGGCCCGGGGGGCCGAGTGCTTATCACGTGCACGTGCGGGAGGGCACGCGGAGGGGTACGTGGGCTCATTGAAGTGTGACGAGGCGCGGAGACGGGGTGCATTCAGTGCGGCCCTGTTACATTCGTTTGCCGCGCCGACCATTTCCGGCGTGCTGGTGGCGTGCGCTTTGACTTGCTCTGTGCTACAGACCACACACAGCATCTTTGATTAATGTAATGAGATACACAGTCGTAGTCGTTTTGTGGCTTCCATACAGCAGAAAACTGATGGTGATGGCTAAGCCATCAAAAGCTGCTATTTTAATAAACAATATTGTTGGTAATGACGACTCGTATAATTATTTCATTGTAAATGCCAACGATAACTCACCACAATACCAATATCTTAAGGATGTTTTGAAGTTATATGATCCAGACAACATCGTCTTAGCAATATTTGGAGTCAAAATTGATAGGACAAATTATAGTTGTTTAAAAATTATGCTGTCAAGGAGAGGAAAATATAGTTTATAATATTTTTCTTACTTAAATATACAAGAGACTAAAACTATCTGACCATTTTGGGATTGTTTTTGACTTCAGCACCAAAGAATACCTGTGATTTTCTTTCTGAAACATTAAAAATCTTACAATAGATTGTCCAATTTAATTAATGAATCTCTAGTGTTCTCAATATGTCACGTAAACAACAACACTGTCTCACTTTTGCCTGGGCTGGTGCCAATCGGTCGCGCCTCGCTACACGGTCCACAGCACTCCTTGATAACGCCGGCACCGAATTGCACATCATCTGGAAACTAATTGAAAGGCACTTTGAGCAAATTATATAACGACAGATAAATTATTGAAATGGAATGCACAGAAAACCTACTGCATAAGCCAATTATCCACCAGAAATTCCTTGTGAGGTGTCCGAAATTCGAGTCAATGATTTTTGCAGATCAAACCCTCTGCTAAGCCATGGACTGTCCAACCATACTGGAAACTGAAAATTGAGGCATGAACAGCAATTAATGAGATATTTTCCATCCTCAGACCAACATCATCAAGTCAGCTACCTTTGACTGAGCGCTTTCCCAGCAGACGCACATCGCACTCCATGACCGCCCAGAGCGCGCCTGAAATGGGAAGTCAATAACAGATGAGAGTAAAATACACGAGGACGGATATATGAATTCAATGAAACGCAATTGTAGTGTCGTGCCACGCTCAAACCGCCGGATGTTAAACAAAGTGTGAGTGATGACGCATTGGAACTTTCCGTGGACGTAGCGAGCCCAGAGCGACTTTGGGGAGGAGGCAATGGGAGCGGGGGTAGAGCCAAAAGGGCCTATTTAAGGCCAGGAGGCGGGCCTATATAAGACACTAGGGCGAGAGGCCGGCAATTCATTGTCGTGACTTGCGAGACGCGTAGATGGTCTCAAAGTAGAGCGGCTTCATACAGGGAACATCGGTGGTATGTTGCGGTGTGGTTGCCGTTCTTAAATTATCTCTCCTTGTTGTGGGACTATTTATTTAGTTTATTGTGAGCAGGGTAGTTGTGAAATTGAGACTACGGTCTAGATTGTTAATAAATCTACTGTTTTACAAACCACTCTCGTCTGTGTTCGATTACACCTGTATGACGCCACATAATCTTCTGCAAAACCGAATGGTTCGCCGCAAATTCCTCGTGAATTAACCAGAATTTGAATCAGCAACTTCCTCAGAGAAATTCAGCATCCTAAGCGTTACGATACATACTGTACAACCAAGGTAAATACCTGATATAACGTATTGACACTAATAACCGAACGAGTGGCACAATCATTCTCGATGCTGGATATTAATCATATTCTTGTCGAGTCTTGAACTTCCGCCGCTGAGCCACCATGCACAAACGCAGCTGCAGATACACTAACCTTTGCCTGGGCGCTTGCCAGCGACCGCAGATCGCACTGAGCGCCGCGGTCCCCCACGGCACGGCCGCCCCCAGCGCGCCCCGGGCGGGCGGGCAGTCAAAGGAGCGTCGCCCGCCCGAGGCTTCCGCCGCCGGGCTTTCCGCCCGACCTCACGCGGTCGCCAAGGAAACTCCTCCTCAAGCACCGCTAGCCGTGATCAAATAAATATGTAAATGGAGACGCATCGTTGTCAATTGGGAACGATCATGGGGGGAGGCTTTTCAACTTGTTTGAAGGATTTTCGAGTTAGCAGATGGAAGAATGAGAAGATGTTTCGCTGGAATGTAGGGTGGAATGGGGGATCCGGACTTCAAAAGAAATGTGGGAATGGTTCGTTGCATTTAACATGTTATGGTTTGGTTTAGACTTCTAGCGTAAGACTAGATGTAGTGCGTAAAGATTAGGTGGTGAATATTTCTATCATTTTGGGCACAATTTTCTGTGTACTTAGATTCGTACATCTTGAACTTGGAAAAGTTTTGTAGACAACGTCACAGTTGTATGCGTGAGAGGTTTAATTTTAAATTTAATTGGTGTAATGTACATTTGGGTAATTTTTTCAAGCCAAAATGATTCATTTTAAAATTCTACGGTTCTTAACTGCATCTAAGTGTATGACAAAATAACATTAAATTATTTAAATCATTGCAGAATGCTGCATTGTAAAACTTCATTTACTTATCTTTCACATGAAACAGTCCTCGTCAATGTAAATGTTTGATTAACTGACTGTATCCACTGTCATGTATCAAAACTACACCTCTACAGTCTATATTTCATCGCATCACAAAATACTACAGCAAAATCCTTCATATACACTCATACGAGAAGTGCTCTTCCAGTTGCACGTTTCCTGCCACTTCCTAGATTAGTTGGAGACAGTTTGATAAAATCAGAACAGTTTGCCAATTATCAACTTCTGAATTTGGGACATGCGGGCGCGAAGAGCGAATGTTTAGATGGACGTGTGCACAAAACAAAAAGGCAGAACAGCCTGCTGAGCGAAATCAACCACCTCTTCGACTCTAGCAAGGGCTCAGAAATTCACTTTCAAACTTGATTCTAACTAATCGCACAAAATCACTTCCGGCGCAAAAGCGACATGCTTGAAGCGGTCCGCAAATTGTTTGTCGGAGCAAAACCTGACACAATTGCCGCGCCGGTGTCGCCAATTCAATGCGCCCATTGTTTGCAACTTCGAGCGTCTCTAGCAGCCGACGAGTGCGTTGCTGGGTGTAGTCCGAGAGGCCGCAGCGGGGGTGCGCGCGGCCGGTGCAGAAGACGGCGAACGGTTACGGGTTTGGGGCAGATTCGCGCAAAGCCTCGTCAGCCCCGCGGTTATGTGGGGCCGCGGCCCACTTGACGCGCACGGTTGTCGCCTCCGCGCGAACCATCAACCCGACGTGCGCGGCGCGGAAGTCCACTGTGGTAACGGCTGCTTGCGTTCCAGAGTGCTGCGCGTGCGACCCCCGGAGCCTTCGTGAACCTATGTGCAGATGGGTGGCTGCTTTTGGCGCGATTTATGTCAAGTATTATAAGAGCTACGTAGATTGCCATAGGGGTCAGATATTTTCTGCGTGAAGTTACCAATGTGGTTATAATTGCAATTGATTACTGATAATGTACATTATATAATTATTATATTAGAATAATTTTCGTAATGAGCTATCTGGACCAGCCAGACTGATATGTGGATTGGGGGATACTCCAAGCCACCCCCTCTTGAACGTCCGCATGGACGTCCTGGGTAACATTGCTAGCCTCAACTGCCGCGTGACAAGCACTGGACCTTTCCCACTGTAATATCTGCACACAACTCGCCGCCACTGCTTCATTTGCGTTAAGTTAAATACGAATTTACGTTGAATGTGTGTCAGATTAACAGTTTCTGAGGAAATTATATTGTGCAATAATTTGGATCATATTATATTTATCAGCGCATGTTCTGTAATTATTATAGTAAGAATTTTATAAATTAATACCTAAATTCCAAAAGAGAGATGATGTGTAGATTTCTTTGCACCCATTTACCAATATTAATGCATTTGGTATACAAACATAATATGTACTGACGGACAGTACACAAACACATTTGTTATACTGACAGACAATATGTTTATGTTGTCATTATATCCTCTCAGTTTCAATTGGCTAGGGACTAGACGTTTGACTTACAGTTTCTGCAACCATTAGTTTTTCTCAAATTAGATGGGAGGAATTTGGTTTAAGAATTTATTTTTAACAGAAGAAAGTCCAGAGTATCTTGATTTTATTAATAGTCTCTCACATGTCTCTGATATACTGCTAGCTGAATTCATACAAGACCGTAAAGACATCTAACAATAATTTCCAAAAATGGAGATTTAATGCTATGCTTGAGTCTTATCCCACAGTAATATCGTAATACAGAAGTAAATTTGCATTAAAGTTTCAATTTAAAGATATATCTGCTTAGATAATTTTTGAACAAATATATTTTTATTTCAGTTTAATACAAAACTCGCTAAGAATTATCTTCTGTCGCATGGTTTCTAGTTTCTGGCCAAACCGAAGGGAGATTTAAATTAATTTCACTAGAAATTAACATTCCTTATGGTTAGAGTTGAAGATGAAAATTCATGTGACATGAAGCATATATAGTACACCAACAAAAAACAACTAAAATATGAGTTCGTGAACTTCCTATTTCAAACCAAAACGATTGAAACATTACATGCATATATCACATTGATTCAAGAATTTTCATTCAAGTCATAATTAGCACAGGTAAATCTGTAGTGCAATTGTATCAGTGTAGTTTTTTTTTCAATTTATCAGTATCACATCTAGGTAGCTGATGGGTGGGCATTTCTCAAATACAGTTGGACTTGGCCACCAGATGTCAGTAAAGTGATTCAGCAGTCCGCTTTCGGCATCGAAGGATTATTGCGAGCTCCCACTCAACGGAAGTTGTCTAATTTTTGTTCCTCCCCTTTCAAAGTCTGCAGGGAGAGGCTGAACGAACGGACCATCCGTCGGGGCCCGGCACTAATGGCAGGGGTATGCAAATTATTGAGGCACGAAACTCTGCATCAGAGCCCTGACTCCTCCTCCCCGCCCTCCCTCTCCTTCTGTGCTCTCGTTTCTTTTTGAACGTCGTCCCGCGAAAAGAAAGGC